CTGTGCAGACAGAGGTGCAGAGGCTAGCCTCTCCACACCTGTGCAGACAGAGGTGCAGAGGCTAGCCTCTCCACACCTGTGCAGACAGAGGTGCACAGTGGCTGGGCACACAGACCAAGTCTCCCTCCCAGCACTGCTGGGTCCATGCAGAGCCCTCCCTCCTTACAATTTTCTTTCGAGGTCCCAGGGCACAGAGCACCCAGAGTGCTAACAAGGCCCCAGGGGTACAATGAGAAGGACCGGTGGGGAGACGCTGCCCTCTAGAGGGATGTGTAGCCCACTGTGCCACACACAAGCACAGCTCACTTTGCAGAGTTGGGAATGGACCAGGGCAGTAGTGAGAGGTTCCACACAGAGCGGAAGGGTAATACTGATAACCTGAGATGAAAGGTCAGCAAGGGCAGGGGCTTGGCCAGGGTGAGAGGGAGGGGTCAGCTGGGCTCCAGCTCCACTCTGAGCATCCATATATTGTATTCCTCTATCACACATTCAGCACCGTGAGCGACCAAAGGACCTAGCCCAGCGCCAGACTCAGCGCAGAGGAGCCAGCCCTGGGCTCAGACACCTCACCGTGGAGGGCAGGGAGTCACCTAAAATCACTGTCCGCCAGATGCAACGGCATGTGCCTGCAGTCCCGACTGCTCCAGAGGCTGAGGCAGGAGTTCAAGACCAGTCCGGGCAACATAGCAAGTCCTTGTCTCAAAACCAAACAAAAATGCTCTGGAGAGTTGGCTCAGTGGTTAAAGGCACCTGCTGCGAAGGACCGGGGTTCGATTCCCGATTCCCAGCATCCACGTGGATGCTCACCACCTCCTCAGGTGACACACATGCACATACGAAATAATAAAAATAGATCTTAAAAAACAAACTAAACAAAAACCGAGATCAGCTGGAGGTGTATCTCAGTTCAGTGGTTCCTTGGCAGGAATGAAGTCCTGGGTTTGTCCCAGTACTGACCACATAAACTGGGCATAGTGACACACACGTGTAATCCTAGCACTCAAGAGGTCGGTGGATCCGGAATCTGAAGTCATTCTTGGCTACCTAGGGAGCAGGAGACCAGCGTTAGCTACAGGAGACCCCGTTTAAAAAACCCAGAATCTCTGCCAGGCGATGATGGCGAGTGCCTTTAGTCTCAGCACTTGGGAAGCAGAGGGAGGCGGATCTCTGTGAGTTCGAGGCCAGCCTGGTCTACAGGGCGAGTTCCAGGACAGCCAGGGCTACACAGAGAACCCCCGTTTCGACCCCTACCCCCTCAAATGTTGTGAAAGTGACTTGTGGTAAGGCTTCTGTTTCTAGTTGGGAGGCTGGGTGGGCAAGGAAGGCTCCCAGTCCGGTGGGATACGCCGGAACTGTCCGCAGGGGAGGGGCGCAGAGTCTACGCGTGTAAAGGCCACAGGGCTGCCTGGGTGGTTAGGTTAAACAGGATAGGACAGGACAGGGTAGGAGATGGGCTGGGGCCCAGTGGTCTCCGAGGGATGGGCACATGCTAGGGTCAGGAAGTCTCTCAGAAGGTTGGGGAGAGGGGCAAGAGCTTGGGGTTGGCGATGCCAGTCACAAGGATGGAGTCTTGTGGCTGATTGGGACCGCGGGAGACACAAGAGAAAGCGCGGCTTGGGCTGGGGATGTAGCGCAGGCAGAGTGGTTGGCTAGCTTACAAGACGCACGCACGCGCACACACACGCACGCACGCACGCTCACGCACCTGGGTTGTGAGCTGAGGGAGGCTGATTCTTGTCCAGCCCAGCCTTCCCTGCTGTGGCCAGGGCATGAGAGGATGTGAGGTGGATTTTGATTCTGGCCTTAAGGTGTCTGTGCTTTAGCAGCCATTGCGCCATGTGCTTGGCCGCTGCCTAGGGGCCAACCCAAGTCCCATCTGGGGGCCCCAGCCGACAACGTGGTCCCTGGGGCCAGGGTTCGAATGCCCCTGCCTACTGGCACAGCCCTCCCGCAACCCGCGGCCTCCCCGGAGCCCCAGCCACGTAGGAACCGGCTCCGCCGGGGTTCCCCCAGGCCCGGTCGTTCCCACAGACGTCCCAGGAGCGCGTCCCCGCGGGTCCAGCGGTCGCTAGGCTGCAGGCTGGGGCCCAGGCCCTCTCGGCTGGGTTGGCAGAGTGGTGCAGGCGGCAGCGCATGGCGGCAGAGCCCGGGCGTTCGTGGACTCAGGCGCGCACTGCCTACGGCGTTAGAGAGGCGCTGAGGCGAGGCGTGAGCCGCCGGCAGGACCCCGGCTCGCAGCCCAACGGGCCGGTCCCCGAAGATGTCCGCGCCCCGGGCCGCCTGGCT